TTGCACAAGAAGAAGCACAAGAAGCACAAGAAGAAGCACAAGAAGAAGCATCACCATGACAACGTGGGGCCTAGCTTCTCCTCCGAGACCCTGGAGGCCAGCCCCTTGCTTCCCAAGCCTCAGCTCAAGCTCAAAATCAAGCTGGGGGGGCAGATTCTGGGCACCAAGAGGTAAGGGAGGTGGCCAAGGCTTATACTTAAAACTAGCACTCGCCAAGCAAGCCAGGGGCCATGCCTGGAGCCAACCAGACTGGTCTCCCCCTTGCCCACCTCCCCAGAATAGCCCAAGGGCCGTCTTCCCTGGGGCCTTTGCAGGGTCCAGTGCGGGTGTAGTGCGGGGTGATGCGCCCAGGCCCTCCTGCAGCACTCTGGGCGGGCGGCCAGGCGTGCTCTGCCGCTCCCTGACAGGCAGGGCTTGGGCTGTCTCTCCAGCGTGCCGACCTTCTCGGTGATCCCCGAGGCGCCGCGCTCCCCTTCCCCTCTGCTGGTTGCGGATGACGAGGATGAGCCCATGGAGGGGGTCCCTATTGAGCAGTACCGGGCCTGGCTGGGTGAGTGCTAACCGTGGGAAATCCTCCCTCAGTCCTAACCAGCTGTCAAAGCCCAGCCCCAGGGTAAGGGTGGGGAGAGGCACCGAGGCGGCCGTGTGGCTGCGGGAGCCCCAGGGTGCCGAGGGGCCCCTGGGGCAGTGCTGTGACGCAGGGAGGGGTCCCTGGACCAGGGAGGGAGCAGGACAAGAGCAATGGCATCCAAGCCGGGCTCTCGGAGGCTGTGTCTGCACTGGCGGCTTCCTGCGCAAGAATCTGCAGAGCGTCCCCGCTGCCCGCCCGCTCTCGTGCAAGGAATTTACCGACCGGCGCGGCAAGAGAGGGCGTCTTGCGCAAGAGCTACGCTCTCTTCTAACGGGTAAGTCCCCTTGCGCAAGGGGCAGTGTGGACGCTCGGCCGGGATTTCTTGCGCAAGGGCACAGCTCCCACAAGGCAGTGTGGACGCTCGGCCGGGATTTCTTGCGCAAGGGCACAGCTCCCACAAGGCAGTGTGGACGCTCGGCCGGGATTTCTTGCGCAAGGGCACAGCTCCCACAAGGCAGTGTGGACGCTCGGCCGGGATTTCTTGCGCAAGGGCACAGCTCCCACAAGGCAGTGTGGACGCTCGGCCGGGATTTCTTGCGCAAGGGCACAGCTCCCACAAGGCAGTGTGGACGCTCGGCCGGGATTTCTTGCGCAAGGGCACAGCTCCCACAAGGCAGTGTGGACGCTCGGCCGGGATTTCTTGCGCAAGGGCACAGCTCCCACAAGGCAGTGTGGACGCTCGGCCGGGATTTCTTGCGCAAGGGCACAGCTCCCACAAGGCAGTGTGGACGCTCGGCCGGGATTTCTTGCGCAAGGGCACAGCTCCCACAAGGCAGTGTGGACGCTCGGCCGGGATTTCTTGCGCAAGGGCACAGCTCCCACAAGGCAGTGTGGACGCTCGGCCGGGATTTCTTGCGCAAGGGCACAGCTCCCACAAGGCAGTGTGGACGCTCGGCCGGGATTTCTTGCGCAAGGGCACAGCTCCCACAAGGCAGTGTGGACGCTCGGCCGGGATTTCTTGCGCAAGGGCACAGCTCCCACAAGGCAGTGTGGACGCTCGGCCGGGATTTCTTGCGCAAGGGCACAGCTCCCACAAGGCAGTGTGGACGCTCGGCCGGGATTTCTTGCGCAAGGGCACAGCTCCCACAAGGCAGTGTGGACGCTCGGCCGGGATTTCTTGCGCAAGGGCACAGCTCCCACAAGGCAGTGTGGACGCTCGGCCGGGATTTCTTGCGCAAGGGCACAGCTCCCACAAGGCAGTGTGGACGCTCGGCCGGGATTTCTTGCGCAAGGGCACAGCTCCCACAAGGCAGTGTGGACGCTCGGCCGGGATTTCTTGCGCAAGGGCACAGCTCCCACAAGGCAGTGTGGACGCTCGGCCGGGATTTCTTGCGCAAGGGCACAGCTCCCACAAGGCAGTGTGGACGCTCGGCCGGGATTTCTTGCGCAAGGGCACAGCTCCCACAAGGCAGTGTGGACGCTCGGCCGGGATTTCTTGCGCAAGGGCACAGCTCCCACAAGGCAGTGTGGACGCTCGGCCGGGATTTCTTGCGCAAGGGCACAGCTCCCACAAGGCAGTGTGGACGCTCGGCCGGGATTTCTTGCGCAAGGGCACAGCTCCCACAAGGCAGTGTGGACGCTCGGCCGGGATTTCTTGCGCAAGGGCACAGCTCCCACAAGGCAGTGTGGACGCTCGGCCGGGATTTCTTGCGCAAGGGCACAGCTCCCACAAGGCAGTGTGGACGCTCGGCCGGGATTTCTTGCGCAA